TTTTCGTGACTGGTAACGGGATCGCAACCCTCAGTGTCACGCCCGTACTGCGACCGGCAACCGGATTGTATTTTTTTTTCCCTTTTTGTCTTTTTTCGTGACTGGTAACGGGATCACAACCCTCAGTGTCACGCCGGTACTGCGACCGGCAACCGGATTGCAACCCTCGGTGTTGCACCTGCACCGCGCTCAACCAGTGAGCGGACCGGTCTCTATATGGGATCCGAACCCTCAGCAGGAGCGCCGCCGCACTCCCAAGCACCACACTCTACCGAGTGCGCCACCGGGCCGGCCCAGTTACCAAGAATTTTATTTGGGGTCAGCATGGTCCAAAATCCAGGGCGTCCTCAGCTGCTTGCAGACCTAAGGAAAAGACAGGCTTCCCCTTGGATGGTGGTGATTTGGCCTTGCAAACAGACCATCTTATCAAACCCAGTAGATTATTTATCAATCCAGACAACAGTCCCCCAGCGTTTGGTGGGTTCATAGCCATTTGTAAGAGAATGCAGCAGCACAAAGAATCCTGGACCGGGAGGAGAACCCTCAGGTTGGCTTGGCAAGTGTTTTCTGAGTGCCTGCTATGGGCTAGGTGATGGGCGTAGGATGCAATACCCCCAAACATACCACCTTGGCATATTGAAAAAGGGCAGGAGCAGGAAGGTCTCTGATCCCCCCTACCTTTTTTCCCTGAAGCATGGCAGAAAACCTAGGAAGGGTTTTCTGACCTCCCCCCGAAGCAGCTCATCAGATCCTCATTCAAGAGAGGCTCTCCCTGTACCCAGAGGAAAGGAATATTCTTACCTCTGAAGACAGTGTCACAAAGAAGAATCTGAACACAATCCTTGCCAGGTTCCCCCAGTTTATTACCATTAGATCACACACTCTTTGTTAACCCTGTTTCTCTATGACTGTCAAATCTAGCATAAAAATACACAGGTTTAGCCATTTCTTTGGGTCTTCATCTCCTTATGGAGGCTCCTGTGTCATGTAAAACTTCAATAACTTTGTATGCTTCTCTCTTGTTAATCTGTCTTTTGTCGTAGGGGCCTCAGCCATGAACCTAGGATGGGTAGAAGGAAATATACTTTCCCTCACCTACAGAGGGGCAGCACAGCAGGTCCTCATTTCATCTGATCCCTTTATTTGCCCAGTGATGAAACCGAGACCCCAACTAAGTGGTGACTCACTCAAAGTCACATACCTGGAGCTGGAGCCAGCTCCAAACCGGTGTTGGGGTGGAGTCAGTCACCTTGACTGTGTAGGGGGCGGTGCTCTGCTGTAAAGGAGAAGCACTGGCCATGAGATCTGCTCCTAGAGTCAGCAGATCGGTCCTGGAGGCTGCAGCGTCGGTGGATTTGCCAGCACTCTGAGTTGCCATGAAATAGCTGCTAATTAAAACGTGCAGCTCTTATGTGGGCCTGTAAAGCAGTTTATGGAAGTAATGCTCCCTCTGTAAATACCCATTACCATAGCAAGTTGACTCTTCCTTGAGCCGTTAACATAAGCTAGTCATTGGCTCCTTTTAAAATGTTATTGCAATGCTGTGCTCTTTAATGAGCTGGTGTCTTGGGCTCCGCAGGCTGCTGAGAACAGCCACAGCATGGGGACCCTCAGCCCTTCCATCCCAGGCACCCCTTCTGGTCCATCCTGAGGGTACCAGCATCCCTGGAAAAACTCTTCTGATCCCCAGTTTGGCCCTGGAATGCCACAAGTGCTGTCGCTGAACCCTGAGCTTTCCTGTAATCAGCAGGAGTGGAATCTCATCCTCGAGAAAAGCCTGGACTCTGGGACTGGACACGCCTGGGTCTGACACCACTGGAAGTCACTTAATCTCTCTGAGCCTCAGTTTTCCCAAGAAAATGAAATAAACAGATGAAATGAAGAGATACTGACTTCATGGGGTTCTCAGAGAACGAAATGCAGGAACTCGGGGTGCATGCTCAGCCCAGCTCTCTGCGCCGAGCAGAGCGAGGCTTAGGGGCGGTGCTGGATGTGATATTGCAACAGCCAGAGACACCAGACGCTTTTAATGAAATCTATAAAGCACTGGGTGAACAGAGAGCGATTCTGATTTTATAATCATCAGTCTGGGTCTACTGGAGAGGAGGCCAATCTGAGCTCTCAGAGAGTCCACATTTTGGAACATTTTAAAGGAAATACTGCTGGAGTATTTTCAAATGGATACAACACCACAAATTAACAGTCAGAGATGTTTTTCCTGGTAAAAATTTCAGTGAGCCAACCACCTGCAAGTTGCTAATGACTCACATTATTGGTTGTGGAATATACTATAAAGCATATGTACTTCACAGGTCCTGGTTTTTCAAAGCCTTGCAGTTTCAAATATTGACCTTGTGGAGGACTGGAAATTTCCCTCAGGCTATAAGTCTCTGTTTTGAGATAAGGATTGTGGCACAGCAGGTTGCTGGCTTAAAGACAGACAGGTTACTGATTGTTGTGTAAAGATACTGAGAAATTGCTATAGGAAGGAATGTTTGCTAAGATCAAACTGTTGTTGATAAGATCACTTAATTGTCTACTGGAAAGTCATCTGGCTTGTTTCACTGAAAGTTACCAGCATATATTGTTAAACTATAACCCCACCTTTGTTCTCTTCCTATAACTTCCTGGTCTGGAAAATAAATGCAGTAAGAGAACCCCAATTTGGTGTTAATTTCCCAAGGAAGGGATGGCTCTCTCTTGAGCGTCCCAAAGGGAGATTAACCACTTCAGGGCCTCTCACTGTTCAGTAGAGATGGGCTTTGAGTAATCCTTTGCATCTCCGTCACCCAGGGAAAGTGGGGTGACAAATCCGTGGGGGACAAAGCAACGATTGGTGGCATTTAGACATTGTTGGGACCTCGGCTCAAACTTCCTGTGCAGACGCTGCCTCTCCAAGCCCCACCGTCCATGCCGGGAAGGAGGAAAGACTCGGCCACCTCACAGGCTTCTGTGAGCCCAGACGAGATGACATGCATGACGCACGTGCAGCGTCTGGCAGGGGCCTGGTCATTCCCTTGTAACAAAATGCACAGTACTCCTGAAGCCACTTAATTGTCTACTGGAAAGTCATCTGGCTTGTTTCACTGAAAGTTACCAGCATATATTGTTAAACTATAACCCCACCTTTGTTCTCTTCCTATAACTTCCTGGTCTGGAAAATAAATGCAGTAAGAGAACCCCAATTTGGTGTTAATTTCCCAAGGAAGGGATGGCTCTCTCTTGAGCGTCCCAAAGGGAGATTAACCACTTCAGGGCCTCTCACTGTTCAGTAGAGATGGGCTTTGAGTAATCCTTTGCATCTCCGTCACCCAGGGAAAGTGGGGTGACAAATCCGTGGGGGACAAAGCAACGATTGGTGGCATTTAGACATTGTTGGGACCTCGGCTCAAACTTCCTGTGCAGACGCTGCCTCTCCAAGCCCCACCGTCCATGCCGGGAAGGAGGAAAGACTCGGCCACCTCACAGGCTTCTGTGAGCCCAGACGAGATGACATGCATGACGCACGTGCAGCGTCTGGCAGGGGCCTAGCATTCCCTTGTAACAAAATGCACAGTACTCCTGAAGTTTAACAAAATGCATTCTTTAAAGCACCCTTCTAGAATGGGGTTTTCTCTTTCAACTTTGCC